GTCAGGAGCATGAATCCCTGAGCTCCATTCTTCTTTTTCAAGATTGTTTTGGCTATTCTTTTGTGTTTCCATACAAATTTTAACATTTTTTTCCAGCTCTGTGAGAAATATGAGGTAATTTGATAGGGATTATACTGAATCTGTATATTGCCTTGGGTAGTATGGCTACTTGAACAGTGTTGATTCTTCCAGTCCAAGAACACTGTATATCTTTCCATTTGCTTATGTGGTCTTCAATTTGTTTCATCAGTGTCTTAAAGTTCTTGGGTACAGGTCTGTTGCCTCCTTGGGTAGGTTTATTCATAGGTATTTTATTCTTTTTGGTGCAATGGTAAGTGGTATTGTTTCCTTAATTTGTTTTTTGGCAATTTTGTTGTTAGTGTATAGAAGTACAGCTGATTTCTGTATATTAATTTTGCATCCTGCAACCTTACCATATTCATTGTTTTGTTCTGCTAGTTTTCTGGTCACTTCTTTAGGGTTTTCTATGTATAGTATCATGTCATCTGTAAATAGTGACAGTTTTACTTCATTTCCTATTTGGATTCCTTTTATTTCTTTTTCTTCTCTGATTGCTATGGCTAGGAATTCCAAAACTATGCTGAATAAAGTGGTGAGAGTGGGCATCCTTGACTTATTCCTGATCTTAGAGGGGATGCTTTCAGCTTTTTCCCATTAAGCATGATGTTAGCTATGGGTTTGTCATATATGGCCTTTATTATGTTGAGGCATGTTCCGTCTATGCCCACTTTCTGGAGTGTTTTTACCATAAATGGATGTTGAATTTTATCAAAAGGTTTTTCTGCATCTATTTAGATGATCATATGATTTTTACTCTTTAATTTGTTAATGTGGTGCATCACACTGATTAATTTGCTTATATTGAAAAATCCCTGCACCCCTGGGATAAATCCCATTTGATCATGGTGTATGATCCTTTTAATGCATTTGTTGGAGTCAGTTTGCTGGTATTGAGGATTTTTACGTCTATATTCATAAGTGATATTGGCCTGCAATTTTCTCTTTTTTGTGTGATATCTTTTTCTGGTTTTGGAATCAGGGTGATGATGTCCCCATAGAATGAATATGGAAGTGTTCCTTCTCCTGCAGTTTTTTAGAATAGTTTCAGAAGGATAGATGTTAACTCTTCTCTAAATGTTTGGTAGAAATCACCTGTGGAGCCATCTGGTCCTGGACTTTTGTTTGTTAGTTTTTAAATTACTGATTCAATTTCAGTACTGGTAATTGGTCTATTCATATTGTCTATTTCTTCCTGGTTCAGTCTTGGCAAATTGTACCTTTCTAAGAAATTGTCCATTTGTTATCTGTTGTCCTTTTTGTTGGCATATAGTTGCTTGTAGTAGCCTCTTCTGATCCGTTGTATTTCTGTGGTGTCAGTTGTAGCTTTCCCTTCTTCATTTCTGATTTTATTAATTTGGGCCCTCTCCCTTTTTTTCTTGATGAGTCTAACTAAAGATTTATCAATTTTGTTTCTCTTTTCAAAGAACCAGCTTTTAGTTTGATCTTTATTGTTTTTATAGTCTCTATTTCATTTATTTCTGCTCTAGTCTTTATGATTTCTTTTCTTCTAGTAACTTTGGGATTTATTTGTTCTCGTTTCTCTAACTGCTTGAGGTGTAAGTTTAGGTTGAGTACTTGAGATTTTTCTTGTTTTCTGAGGTAGGCTTGTATTGCTATAAAATTCCCTCTGAGAACTGCTTTTGCTGCGTACGGAGGTTTTGGATCATTCTGTTTTCATTTTCATTTGTCTCAAAGTATTTTTTTATTTCCTCTTTTGATTTATTCAGTGGTCCATTGGTTGTTTAGTAACATATTGTTTGCCCTCCACATGTTTGCAGTGTTTTTCTTGTAGTTGATTTCTAACCTTACAGCATTGTGGTTGAAAAAGATCCTTGGTATGATTTCAATTTTTCTTAAATTTACTGAGGCTAGCTTTGCGGGCCAGAATGTGATTGATTCTGGGTAGAGTTCCATGTGTACTTGAGAAGAATGTGTATTCTGTTCCTTTCAGATGGAATGCCCTATAGGTATCAGTCAAGTCCATCTGGCCTGATGTGTTATTTAGGGCCTGTATTTCCTTATTGGTTTTTGACTGGATGACCTGTCCATTGGTGTAAATAGGGTGTTAAGGTCCCAGACTATTACTGCGTTATGGTTGATTTCTCCTTTTATGTCTGTTCACAATTGCCTTATATATTGAGGTGCTCCTATGTTGGGTACATATATATTTGAAATTGTTATATCCTCTTCTTGGATTGATCCCTTGAGCATTATGTAGTGTCCTCCTTTGTCTCTTGTAACAGTATTTTAAGATCTATTTTGTCTGATATAAGTATTGCTACTCCAGCTTTGTTTTGGTTTCCGTTTGCATGGAATCTTTTTCCATCCCCTTACTTTCAGCCTGCATGTGTCTTTAGCTCTGAAGTGGGTCTCTTGTAGACATCATATATATGGGTCTTGTTTTTGTATCCAATTAATTAAAATACTAGAAGTACTATTTCAACAATGCAGTGAACTTAAGTAGTGGTTCTTAGATTTTAGTACGCATTAAAATCACTCAGGAGAACTTGAGACAGATTTCTGGGTCCCACCCTCAGTTATTGAGTCAGGGGTGGGACCCTTGAATAGGCCCTCCTAACAGGTTTCCAAGTGCTGCTGGTGATAAAGCTCTTGGTCTGAGGACCACACTTTGGAAACCACTGGTCTAAAGCAAACCCATGCCATTTTCTGCCATTCATTATTGGTCACTTATGTAACTGTCCACCAGTTGAGAGCCATGTGGTTAGGTTCCCTAGCAGGAAGAGCAACCAGTGAACTTTTCTCTGAGCTAGTGCATTTTCCAGGACTAGCTTAGGGGTGAGAGCTCTGGATGGAATCAGACCATCTAGGTGCTCTTTTCTGTGCTCTAGTTGCTGTATGATTAAATAGATAATAATCACTTGGTATATCAATCAGAGACCAACCAGGAAAAAGGAAATGACTCTAGCTCTTAAAGAAAGGACTGAGTAAAAAGGACTGGTTACTCAGTTGATGAAAGTGGAAACCAAACAAAGGGTGGTGAGAGAAACCAGAGGTTTAGCAACAGCAGAAAACTGTTACCACCCCTTAAGCTAGAGTAAAAATGGGAGGTGGTAATGTTGGCTTCTACTGAGAGAGGGACCAGAGTGGGGCTGCTCAGACCCCAAAGAGAGGGTCTGTCTGGCAAGAGCTGGAGCCATAGGGGAGACTCACTATCCAGAAGCCAGAGGGCAAGAGACTCTGGGAGTAGGGTTCTCTGGGATACAGAACAGAGCAGGGGAAAAGCAGGAAACGAATCTCGAGTTACTGTCAGAATTGGTATGTTAGTCATTGTTGCCATGACCGTAATGACTTATGAGCCCCTCTCATCTCCATCACTAGACCATGCCTACATGTTAAGTGAGTGTCATATACATGCAAAATGGCCTCATTGTAAATTCATCTGGCCATCAAAAACAAAGACGCAGGTTATCTCAGATTAAGATGGTTTATATATATGGACTTGATGCTATAGTGGCAAACCAGAATCTGGAGTGAAGCTTCGTTCCCCGTCTAGAGCCCCATGTTACCACTGCCTGATGCCTAGTTCCTGTGTCCCTGCACTGTAGCTCTTCAAAATATGCAGACTGTAGAACAGAGACAAAACCAGACACCTTCAGAAACCATAGTTTGTGAAGAACGATTCTGAAGGTTTGGGAATTGATGATGAAGGAGAGGGATGGAGGAACAGAGGACACTACATTTTCTTAGAGCATGAACATGCCCTGAAATGACATCCCCGAGAACTTTCTTTTCCTCATTAAGGATATAGTGAAATTAGGTAAATGACATTGAACCATCACTCATGTGACCACTCTTAAGTGTTTTTCTCACTTTACAAAAATGAGATGAAGTGAAAGGCGGTGAGTGGGGACCAGTGAAACAGAAGCAACATTTATCAACCAAAAGAGCAAGAGGGCAGTTTAAAAAATATTTCTTAGGTGATCATTGAAAATTTCAAACCATAACTTAAGTTTCAAAACAACCTTTATTCTGTTTGAAGACCTAATACAATGCATTAAAGCAACTTAAAACAAGACATAGCTCCACTGAATCTATAGCTTGAACAAAATGTCAAGGAGGCACAGTCCCCCCGCCCTCCCCCCCCCAGGTGCCTTGTAAAGGCAAAATTACAGCTGACCATGACATCCTCCCTCTCGTCAAAAGACCAACTTTATTTGAACAATGTCATAGAAACAGATTTGTAAAAACATCGAACAGATCATAGCTTTAAAAAATACACACATATAAATGAGTTTTTTTGTTTGTTTTGCTTTTTTTTTTTTTAATAGCAGCATCCTGGGCAGCTAATGCTATCTCATGGTGACAAGTTCAGTATTAAGTTGGATAGTGTTTCCAATGAACCCAATTCTGTTCCCCTCTTGACTCATACATAATACTAGTAATTTATATAACTAGATTTAAAAAAACCAAAAAAACAAGAATTTGGCATTTCGGAACTTTGTCCCATGTGAGGCATTGTGCTTTAAACTGCCCCTTTCTTAAATGACCTTGAACTCAGATTTCAGGGTCTGCTTTCCAACTGACTTGGATACCATGCATAGCAAAAGCACAGTTGTTAGAACCAGCAGAATTTTTCTCCCAATAAGGAACATCAGTAGGACTTCCGAAACACATGACTAGTTCATAACCAGCTACGTGACAAAGCAATGGGTTCCCCACAGTGACAGCTCACATCAACACATTTTGACTTGACACACTGAAAGCAAGGATTTCCAAGTTCAGCGAGTCATGAGACCAGCTCCTCCAGGAGTCACTTTTAAACAGAAAAAAGCCAAAGAATTATGAACTTCTCACGTCACTTGCAAACAACTTTCACCTTTATAAGACAAAGCAACTTCAAAGGGAAAAAACAACCCACACACAGATACAAGAATTGTACTAGATATTGGCTTCTTATGTACTTGAACTCAACGACTGTGGATCTGTTTGGCTGAAAGGTGTACTGGAAACACAGTCCATGCGCATATACACATATATACATATACCAAGGGCCAAGAGGTTGTCTGATGTTGCAAACACAAGCTTTTCGCCTTTGCACATGGTTCTGATTTTTCTGTCGTATGACATTAGGTCCCAATATCCTGCAAAAACAGCCCTATCACAGCCTCTCTGCAGCTTAGCTTCTGGCTTTTATCTTGAGGACGCTACACTGGGTGGAGAAAATCACTGCATGGATATAAGCATGGATCAGGAGTGCCTCTGCTATATTCATTCATAAGCCACTGAGACAATGTTGTTAGGAGATGAATGATTGGACTCAAGAGAGCCCTGCTGGTCCAGCATCTACAAGGACACATGTGGTGGGCATGCTATACACAATCAAAAAGGCATCTGGCAGAGGTGCAACGTCATAGGTAAGGTGTAACTCACTGTGACCTGAAACAATGAATCCTGCCTTTCTGGTCAAGGAAAAGTCTATTGCATTTCTGCTCGTGAGATGCAAAACTAAGGCAAGTGCCTAAATCCCACACCACCTTGTGAAGAGTGTTGAAGCAAAAACATGAACAAGACTGTAGCTTTTCAATGAAATACTCCATATCAGATCTCATATTTTAGAAATTAAATGAAAGTTACATAACAGCATAGATGGATGTGCTACCAAAAAAATAAAAAATAAACACCTAGTTTATAAACTACTACTCACTAATTGTTGGACTGCTGTGTGACGTGGAAGGATAGTTTGACAGCAGACCCAGAGACTAAAACCAGGGAAATCATCAGTTGTCTGGAGATGAGAGGGATCTGGTCAGATCAGTATGGTCAAGTTTGAGGGCTGACAGTCCGGCTGTGAGACTGACTATTGCTTTCGATATGAGTAGCTTCATGTAAAAAGAAAAAAAAATACATTCTGCAGTTGATTAAGTCAGCTGCTAGATGGATTCTTTTAAAAGCATTTTAAAAGGAGCAACATTAAAAAAGAAAACAAACCCCCTCACCCTGGTATGTGAAAGAGAAATGAAGCTGTGGTGAATCTCATGTTGAGCAAGGAAAACTGAAGTTGTAAGATTCCATTTGCATCTCCCAGGGTGGTGACCATGATGATAATTCCCTTTACTCTTCCCAACTCAGGTACAATTCCCACTGAACTGAAAAGCGTTGGCGTATGTAAATCAGGGAGAGAGACCTCGAGCTCTTGCCTTAAGTTGGAAAGAATTTTCTAACAACCCCCTCCTTTGCCCCACAGTGAAGTGCAACACATACAGTTATTTGGATGCGTGAGGACTGTTAGGATTCTTACAATGGCCATGACTTGAACAAGTTCCCCACAGCCTGGGGCAGTAACAATTCTGATGATGTCTGTTTGCTTTATGATCTAAATTGAATAGAAAGCTAGGAAAAAATAACAAATGTCCAGATGAAGAGAGATTTTTCAGCTCATGCTTTTTCTAAAATGGATGTTTGGTGGTTGTAATGGGTAGTCAATGTGAGAGACAGGTTTTCTCAATGCAGTGGTGACACCTTGAAATCAGTGTGTCAAACAGGGATGAACACTGTTCCAGGAGCCCCCCATTACCCCTGCCTCCCTAAGAAAGAACTGAACTATCTGACCAGCTGCACTGTTAGCGTTCTAGTAGGTTTGTAATTGTCCTTAGGGTTTGAGTAGCAGATCCAAGTGGGAAAAGACTTCACTTTGCAGTGATTCACTTCTCCGTAATCACAAGAAAGTGCGTGCCATTCGCCACCCCTCCCCCACCCCACCTGTACATCCCTTGCTCTATCCCCTCCCTAGATTCAAGAAGTTCACAATTCTTGATGAAACAAACATTGCCAGGTACCGTATTTTAAGTCTTGAAACATTGTTGAACTCAGCGATACTTTGTCATATTCATATATCTTTCTCTCTCTCTCTCTCTTTATTGAATAAAGCAGCTTTGAAGCTTATCAGGCACTGCCCAACAAAACATTTAGTCCAAAAAAATCTGTTATGAACTTTTTAAACTTGGGCTAACAGCCAAGTACTCTGTACAAGAAAAACTGTAAAATATTTCATAGTTTTAATTCTGAAGCCATTTTTTTTTAAACTGGCATCCTGTACATTTAGTCTTAAAAAAAAAGGAAATGAGTAACAAAATTGAATATTAACAAAAAAAACCAAGGACAGTATTTTCAAGCAACAAAAATGGGGATGGGGGAAGCTTATTCTGAAGGTACATTGATAACAGATAACAATGAAAATGAAGGATTGCATAGCACTGTGAAGTTAGCCTTCAGCAAAACACAACAGAAGCTATTTGGTATTGATACAAATCCATCTACTTGATAGTTAGTCATCCAATATTATGTACATATTTTATATACTAAATGTCATTCATAAGTCCTGTTTTCTTAGCTCCGTTTTTTTGTTTTGAAGACTTTAAACAACACACTTTCTGGTACGTGGCTATGATAGAATTTCCTCTTAACAGATGACATGAGCCGACGTCCCTCAAAGTGTCCCTGGTGCCCGGAAGTGCCTTTCTGCTACATATCAGTTCATTTGTTAAGAAAATGAAATAATCCACAGTGCGGTGTCTGGGTCCACCGTGCACAGCAACACCCCGCTGTACCGCGCGTCCCCAGGCCGGGGCTCGTCCCCCTTCTGGTCGCCACAGTCCCCACTTGTGAGCTGGTAAAGCTTCTGAAAGCATGAACGAGCACCATAGTTAAAGGCCTCTTTGTTCCTGCACGCAGATTTTTGCATTTCTTTTTCTTGTGGTGTCGGGTGGGGTTGTGGCTTTGAATTAAACCAAAAAAACCCAAAAAACAAAAACCCAAAAAAAGAGGGAAGAAAGAAAGGCGAGGCCCTCCAGACAAGGGAGAAACGTGTGGTCCTCGCTCGGTGCGAGGCTGCCGCCTCCCCGCCGACGGTTCTGTCGAAAGCGCGAGTCCCAGCTGCAGACAGACGGCTTCCCGGCCGCCGCTCAATTCCAAGGCCAGGCCGGAGAGGAGCCCTGTGCCGGCCGGAGGCCGCGGGAGCTGAACTTCGGGAGCGGTGGGGCCGGCCCTTCATCGCCGCTGCTGCGCGTACACCGGGTAGGCCAGTGTGACGTTGAGGGAGTCGTTGTGCTGCACGAGGGACGTGTGCTGGTAGTGGAGCACCAGCTCCTTGAGGGAGCCGTACAGGTTGTAGGGCTCCGCGAAGCCGTAGCCCGTGGCCGTCTTGTTGATGACGCAGTGCTTGACCTCGCCGTCCACCCTGCGGGCGGGGAGAGCACACAGGCCTGGGTGAGCCGGCAACCCAGCCCCACTGAGCCGCTGTGTTTCCATCTTTGGGATGGAAAGGTAGTAATAACGTCTGTAACAGGGGGCTCAGAGAAAGGAGACACCGCGCAGGGCCTGCCCGAGGGATGCCTAGGCCGCGGCGGGCAGGCTCCGGGCGGTACCCACCCCCCCGCCCCGCGGTCCTGTTAGCGCAGGAACAGGGCGGCCTCTGCAGCTCCGCATTCGCTCTCTACCCCCTTGGCCGCGCTCCACGTTCTTCTCCTGCCTTTCCTCCTGTATTACTCTGCTTAAATGGAGGTAGTGCCTCGACTATAAAGTACCGAGGGTGCTCCCTAAACTATTCTGAAAGAAACGAGGAAAAATAGGCCGCATAACGGACACGTCTTCTCCAGGGGGCTTTATCTCAACGACAGTGACCAGGGTCCCTTCTCTTACTGTCTTCACCTGTTCCTGACGGGGACTTCACCTGAGGATGGTGCTTTCACGGGAATTACCCTCCAACTATTCGGGAGCCAAAAACAAAAACCAAGCACTGCTACTTCCATTTCACGAGAAGGAGTTGCTAAATTGCTGCCCAAGCCCCCGACTAAACAACAGGTTTCTTTCTGTTTGACCCTATTAACAGATACTCCTGCCTCAACGTGAAAATGCTGTTTTATTTCCTCTTTATTATTAAGATAACCAACCTTGGAGGCAAGGATCTGAAAAAGTTGACTGACTGACTGACTGACAACACCCCCTTGAGAGGCTTGACAAGAACCAGCCGCTGGAGATACGTACACCACAGAGCAGGCGTAGCAGCCCTGCTTGCTGCTTTCCCGGACCAGAAAAGTTCCGTCTCGTTTCCCCCGTAGTAGGTTTTCGGCTTTGTTTCGGTTGCTGCTTCCCACGTTCCAGGTCTTCTCATCGTGGTGGGGCAAATCCTCGTCATCTTCTACCAGCGAATATTGGCTAAGGAGGCAGGAGAGATTTCCACATGAAGCACCTGGGAGCCACAAGCCTGCCCGCTCACCTCTTGGACCTTGGTCCTGGGCCTCCCACGAGCAGGTCAGGCCAGCGATCATGGTTCTGACTCAACCAGTGTCTCTGGCCTGAGTTGCCTCATGGGGGTTGGCTTTCAGCGTAGCCTCCCTGAACAAAGAGCAGCACTAAGGGACGCTCTTTCCTGTTTCCAAGTCGGCAACGCCGCTCAGCGACCTGGGCCGAGAGGAGGGGTGTTCACCAATCCTGTCTGTCCAGTCTGGATCAGGAAACTGACTGACAAGGAGGAATGCCAGTTTTGAAATAACTGAAACAAAACCTATACCTGAGCTTTAAAAATATACTGAAGTTGTCTTTTTCTCCCCCCAGCTTGTTCCCAAAATATGTTGGGATGTTTCAGATGGTTCCGGGACATCATTTTGGACACGGCATCACTTTCAAGCGCTGCGGGGGGGAAATGAATCTGCATTCTCCTTTGCTAAACTTTCCTCTCTTAAAATTCTGGGTAATGAGGCTTGAGTTGATACATCTTCTCCTGTGAGACGTTCCAGCCCTCACTTGTTCTGCAGACAAAGCAAGTCATGCATTTTCCCTCCAATGAAAAGAGACCCTGGCTGCCGCCCGCCTGGATTAACTACTTACTCTTCAGTGTTCTCATTGCCCAGCCACTCGTTCAGCTTCTTCTGCCGAACACCTTTCTGAGTCAACCACCTGGAAAAGTTTTAAAAAGAAAACACATTAAGAACCTGTGCTTCACTTTAGCAAATGCCAGTCATGCGCAGACAGGGTTCCACCTCGGGTACGTACATCAAGTATTGGTCTCTGGTCTTTCTCAGCTGAATAAGGTCGGGTTTAATGCTGTTCATGCGCTTGTCAATCTCGCGGTACTCGGCCGCCTGCTTCTTCAAGTCCTCCTCCAGCCTTCGCCTGCTGTCGACAATTTCACTGATTCGAGACTTTAATTTTTCATAATTATGCATAATCCTACAGGCAAGAGAAATGCATCCGTAATTACCTGGCACATCATGAAAGGCTTCCCCAAAGTTTCGCTAAGGATTCCCAGCAGTTTCCCTGGGGGAAAGAATGCTTTCTCTTCTGTCATTTCACAGAAATCAAGACCAGCTTTAAAGAGGGTAAGAGAATTCTGGTGATCTCTGGCACAAGGGCACTTCAAACCCTCCTGCTTCACTCACCTTTGTATTTCTTTCTCATTGCCTTCACGTTTAAACTTCTCTATGTATTCTTTGCTGTACCGCTCCTGAGTTTGGCACTGTTCTTCAAATATTTTTATGGTTTCATTAAATGCTTCAATAGCTGTTCTTTTCATTTGGATTTCCTGCACCATATGAATAAGACAAGGTCATTCCTTTTGCGGAACAATTTCTCATTGCAAGATGCTACCAGGACATTTGATTGGTGCTACCATCTAGCAGGTAAGTAGTTTGTAAGCAGGGTGGGATTCTAATTCATTAAGCCCCTTAAATCTTCCCAGTCTATGGAAGATGATGGCTGGTCAGTGTTCTACAATTTGCATCTTTGAAAAAATTTCCACTTTCTCAGCAGTTCATGGCATCCTGCTCCCTCTGGTGGTCCCAGGCACGTGATGGCCTAAGGAAGAGCAAGTCTCCAGGAGAAGACAGCAGTGCAGGTAGCCTCAACCTCTCCTGGCAGGATCAAAGCATGGCTAAATCCCCATTTCAGGGCCCAGACAAATCTGCGGAAGTTCTGATTATTATTAGCTTTCGCTCAAAAAAGAATTCTTCAATCAGGAATCATGTCAAATCAACTTATTTGGATACTTACAAGCTTCATGTAAAAGGTTATAGAGGTATAGCTCAGTGGTAGAGCACTGCTTAGCATGCACAAGGTCCTGGGTTCAATCCCCAGTACCGCCATTAAAATAATAAAATAAAGAAATCTAATTTACCCCCCGCCCCCGAAAGGCTATAGACCTAATAAGTGAGCTCTCTCTCCCCCACCTCACTGGCATAAACTCCACTTTTAAAATTCTTTTTGGAAGCTGAATATAACATGCATTAGGTCTAATCCTAATCTGATTTTCACAAAACTTACCTGGGAAGTACGGGTGTAATCTTCATATAATCTATCATATTCCCGACTCTTTTCTTGAAATTGAGTGTTATATTCATGTAATTTTTTCCCTACAGCTTCAATATTATCTTCTTTGACAACTTGATCCTGGAAGGATTTGAGAGCGGAAGGAAAAGAAAAACATTCATCAAATGACAGCTGTTTGAGGATTTTTTCCCATGTCAGATATTTTGGTCATTTTACATTTTATTCAGCTACTATATACTTGTGAACACAAAATTACATGCAAGTTGTTCAAACTTGATTAACGTAAAATTCATCTGCTTCAAAATGTTAATCTAAGCATTAAAAATATCTTAAATATTATAATAACCTGACTACTTGATTACCTGTTGGTATTTGGATACTGGATACAGTAATTTCACATCCAGTTTGGGATTATACTGAGCTAGAGATTCATTCCGGTAGTGGTTTATTAGTTCAACCACAGAATTGAAGGTTAATGGGTCAGAGAAGCCATATTTCCCATCTCGGTGAAATATTTTGATTAATTTGTTATTTCCTCCTTTCCTGTAAATGCAATACAAAAAATAATGGCATTAGAAGCCTCTTTAAAAAATGTTTCATCATCACCTTGAACAGTCCAATTTTAGCTGCCTGCCCTCCCTCACTCACCTTAGTGTAAGAGTATAATCACCATGCATTTTAGTAGACGCGTCTCGTACCAAAAAGGTCCCGTCGGCTGTATCTCGAAGTTTTTCATTCACTTCTTCCCTGCAGTGGAAAGACCATGAGAAGACAATGCTTACCTTGAGGAATTGGGTGATTTATTTTCTTTAACATCTTTACTGTGGTATGGTTCCGTACAGTAAACTACACATTTTTTCAGATGTACAATTTGATAAATTTTGATAGATGTATGCACCCAAGAAACCACCATAATTTCCTTCACTCCCCAAGAGGTGCAGTTTGGTGATTCCTGAACCACATGACAAATCAGCACTGAAAAGTCATGATCCCAAAAAGGTTTCCACCCAACTCTTCACTCCCCTTAAAAAAGCAGCAGCTTAGACTCAAAATTTACTACGTGTTAAGATAGATAGTAACACTAATTCTTGGCATTTCTATCTAATAGAGAAAGTGACTTCACACTCTGCCTTTAGGGAGTCCACTGCACCCTGCTGCTTCCCTGACATCTCTGTCAATAATGAAACTTTACGGGGATTTAATTTCCTGTGGCATCCAGTACCCACAGTTCCCTGGTGCTCAGTGACTTCTCTGGTCTTCTTTGGAAGGGAACCAACTATGCTTCATGCTTATGTTGGATGAGATCCTAAAAATGGAACTTAGCAAGCTGGTGCTTTTGCTTTTCTTTCTATTCATCTAAAACTCCCTGTCTCTAGTGAAAACTCAGGAGTTTCTATAGCCTTACCTCGAGATATCGCCCCAGTACCATTCAGCATCTTGTAAGGACATATTGTTATTCATACCGTTGTTGGCTACAGTAGTGGGTTTTGGTGGTTTAGGAGGCAGTGCTGTAGATTAAGGAGAAGGAAAAAGTTTTTGCAATCCCAACTAAACATTTAAAATTAGACTTCAGTTTCTTTAATATTTTTTAAACATTTTCATGCAGAAAAGATATTAACTATGAAATATAGCAATAATGCACAATTCCATGAAACTTTTCTTAAAAAAAAACAAAAAAAAATCAGAAGTCTTTCAGCCTACAGATCAAAATTTTAAAAAAGAGCTTAGAGACCAACAAATAAAATGGGCTAGCCATGTGAATGAATTTCAAAGTAAAACCAGAGTTACAACATTTTCTACCTCTAGGCTCAAGCAGTATTAAAGTTTCATATCTGGTCAAATCTCTCTAAAGAAACTACGAACAGAATCACAGGAGGAATCACATGGATTGGTTTTAATTTCCTCCTCTTATTTAATTATAAAAGACAAATTTGGTTCCTGCCCTCCACAAATGTTCATGCGGTAAAAAAAAAAGCCCATCTACAGCAATGTTTTAAGAGGAGGAACTGGGTTTCCCCTCATGGTTCTGCCAAAAGCCACTTTAAGAAACTCATCTGTGACCTAAATCTTAGTATTCATGTTAATAATTCTCTTGGATAACTGGGCTTTGTATTATGCCAAGACTGACTAAAAAACCATATCCCTCTTCCTCAATGTCAAATCAGTATTCATATACCAACTAGTGACAAATAGAGACAGCAGGGTTTCTGAATTTCTTAATTGGGAGAAAGGCTAACATGGGAATAAAAATTCAGAAAGCAAAATAGAATTTGGCTCAACATCCGAGACCTAAGTCATAAGTTATAAAGCACTGTTACTGTTTTAAGCAAAAATTATTTCAGGAGTCTATCAGGAATACTTCATACAGACAGGGACTAAATAATGGAAAGCCAACTTCTTTTCTCATTCTAGTATTTTAATATAAGAGAGCAGGCAAAGTCTCAACATCTGATTAAGAACAGTTTCAGGGCACCCAGAACTGAGTTGCAGTCACTGCTACACTTGACATGCTGTCTGAAGTACCACACTGTGCGCACCCGCTTTCAGCAGAGAAAAGCAGCACCGAGGGTGCATCCTTTTAATTCAAGGAACGATATACAACAGTATAACCCCAAACAGCAAACGACCTCAATTAACAAAAGGTACCAGTGAAAAACTGGAAGTGAGTTTCTATCCATTCAACTACGAGTAAGCATTTACCCACCCCCCCCAGCCTGACCTGCTTCCTTCCACAGGCAGTCAAACAATTTGTTTCATTTTCACGCTATGAGCAAACTCATTCTTAAATTCGAACAAATTAATAAAAACAGAAGTCCGAAGAGGATCTGTTACCAGTAGTTGTCAAAAAAAATTAAATGCCACAAAATTAACTAGTTTTCTACAAGAATACTGCAGTATTACCTGGTGGATCCATTTCTATATAAAACATCAAGTCTGTGCCACAATTTATATCTGTCTTAGCATAGTCTAAATCCAGCTCTTCCATATTCCAAACAGTGTTGTACATTTGTGCGAGAGTTTCCTTGGCTGAGCTCAGTTATAAGAAAAGAGTCCGGCTTTCTTTGTAATGGTGTCTTGGAATTCATTTTAAAACCTATAAGGGGCTGCACTGTAACCTATTACATCACACAGCCCAGCCAATCAAGTCAGAAAAATGTCACCAGACCACTCCTGCTTCATCACTTCTCTTCTCTACCAGCCTTACCACAGCCCCGACCTCACGGAGAACCTACGTTTTAAAGAACCGCAATGTATACATGCTCATCGTTTCAAAAGGTGTTTAATTTGACTGTTCTTCTCTAGCCGTGAGTTTTCTAATTCCTTTTTTATTGCTCCTTGCAGCATGGTGAGCGCTGCTGTTGGCAGGTTGACAAAAGCTGATACGCTGCAGCACGTAGCTTTTTTTTTTTTTTTTCTCTTCCCCAGTGCATCTGGATTTACAGATACCCTGGTCATTTCTTGGTTTAAAAATCTTAAAAAGGCATCAAAATGGTATACTTAAGATATATTTTACAGTCCTAAAATGCCTCCCACATTATTAAAAGCAGTAAGGATCAAGAGCCCTGGCTATTTAATTTCAGTCCTCCATAATTCACTGCAAACTCAGAAATGAAACACTATCACAAATGCACTACATTAGCAAGCACAATTAAAAGAAAAGGTATAGGCAAAAATCTATATTAAACACTGTTAAGTTAAAACTAGACTTGACAGAATATGGAATGAAAATTCCCCCCAAAAGAGCCATATATATGTATCAGAATGCAGAGGACAGGCAGTTACCCTTGCAAAGTATTTCTCACTGATGACCCCCATCCTCAGATTTATTTTACTAACACTACTTGAAGGGGGTGGGTGATGTAATCACTTTGGGGGGGGGTCATTTTTCCCCTCCATCTCAAATGCCCCCCCCCTTAGGGGACAAATATTCCTTCTTAGCACTATTTAATGTAAGGAAATCAATTCCCCTATAAATCTAAATTAATGTTAGTTCTTCTATCACGAGAGGAGAGGAAGGGAGAAAAGGTTCCCCTCCACCCATGTAAATGTGGCTGATTTTAAAAACGACAGGGGGCTCTGTGATGTATGTACATGTGCCTGCCACATATTTCTATGACAATTTAAATAAAGAACACAGAAGCCCGTGAAATTTATTCTTAGACTTTCTGTCAAATTTGGAATCATAAAATATATAGAAATAGCAGAGCAAAGGCAGGACATTCTCAGGGCTGTTCACGTGTCTCTCTTCCAGTTAATTCATTTTCCCATTAAGGAGGAAGGCAGACTGAACTTCTACCCTCCCACTCACATTTTCTCTTTGCCTAAAGGTTTAAGGAAACCTAAACGCAAATTCAAAGAAAAACGGTAAAAGTGGTGGTAGGGGGCAGGGTAGCCCTCAGATAATAAAATTCAGGGAAAAAAAATCCTGAGTTTAATAGAAATGTTGACCCTCCCCCCAAAGGACAGGAGACGAGTCCTCCCAGCAGTGTGGACACCGTGACAGCCCGACAGAGGGCTACCCCATGCCTGTTGGGAGCACTTGGTGCAGACCGGTCCTGCTGCTGGAACCCATGTAGCCAACAGACCCAGGGAGGAGGGCAGGACAGGTGACTTTACACGTCTCTCCCAGGCCTGGCCAGGCACCACCTTCCAGACCTGCACTTACTAATTACCTCCTTCCCCACTTCCAACCGAAACCCCATCTTTCCCCGGCATTGTGCCCCTCGAGGAAATGGGGGAGTGTCTCCCCTAATCTCTCAGCTATCCTCCCCAGGCAGCGCTATCTCTCCCTCCCTGCCCCCCTCCCTCCCTCACACACACAGGAAGACACACCGCAGAAATGAACCTTTCACAGAAGTACCAAAAAAAACTGAAACAGCCAAGGGGCAGAGAAATGCACAAATGAAAGACAACTTACTTTGCAGGTTATGCATTTCAACGGTTTCCCTTTGCAATGCCCGTCTCCGACAAAGAAACAAAGACAAATACCAACAAACGACGGTACCCTCCGGACCGG